GTGAAAAGAGAAAGAGGGAAAAAAAGCGGGAACTGTTCAAAAAATTTCGTAGTACGAGGGCGGCGTGACAGCTGCCCCCTGCCTATCAGAGCCGACCACGTGTCATTGGAAAGGGAAGCGTCACAGTCATGATTGAAGAGACGTTTTGACCGAACAAGTACAGCCGGAATAAAATAAGCTCGGCTGGAGAGGCTAAAGTGGTTTTTTAGCTCGGCTGGAAAGGCTTAGGAAAAACTTCAGCTCGGTTGAAAGACTGGTAATCCCAAATCATGCTGTGTAGATGGAATTAAGGGGCAATTGAGAGGGTAATTTTTGGTAAAAATTGGGCCGAGCTGTGAAGATGGACTTTATGGCCCAAAGTACGAAGGACAGGATAAAAAGGCCCAATGGAGATGTAAAAGTTACTCCGGTCCAAGAATAAGAAAGTTACTCCGGTTTAAGAGATAAAGTTACTTCGGCCTAGGAAGGGATGAAGTTATTTCGGTTTGAGGGTAAAATGTACTTCGGTCTGGAAGCAACTTGCAATTAGACCGGTCTTGAAGTTATACCGGTCTTGGGGTTATATCGGTCGCAAATCGTTGGTTCGGTCCAAACATACCATGGGTTGAACAGGAGAGAACCGAGGTAAGGAGGAGTAAGGGGAGAACCGAACTAATGATAGTTCGGCCTACTCTGTGGCTCAGGATAGCCAGTTTTACTTCGGTCAAGTGGTAGTTCGGCCATAGTAAAAACCATCCCACTTGGTTTAAGCAGTGGGGGGTGTAAAAGGATAAACATTATCCTATAGGAGTATGAATCCTAGGAGGACTCTGCATGGAGGAATAAAAGTCCTACTAGGATTATGCCACTCGAAACCTATATAAAAGCTCACAAACATCACTTTGAATGAGGTAACACAAAAAACACAACTCACAATTTTGCTTTCTGAATACATTGAGCTCTTGTCTATTTGTCAAGTTTTCTGACTTAGGCATCGGAGAGGTTTCCGCCACACACCCGCCGGCTAGCTCGCGTTTGTGTTTTCAGGTGACAAAGCGACGTCGTACAGAGGAGCGCGGACTTAGTCAACAGGATTATACGAGGAAAATTATTTCTTCCCCGTACACTTTCAAATTTTATCTAAAATAATATAGTATAGTATTTTAAAATTTTTGAGTTATATACCTAAGGGTCCTTTTGTTTAAAAATTTGTACAAAAATTGTGTTAGTATAATATTATTCATTTTAAAATTTAAATTGTACTGTTCACTACTAACTTTTTTTTCAAAATTTTAATTTAGTTTTTCACCTTCTTATTACAATTATTAAAATTTTATAACTTAACCGTCTTTCAATGTGATTTTTATTGTCACCCACCATTTAACATTTGGACGTATAAATCACCCCTCAAGTTTTAAATCGATTTTACTTTGATTTCTCATCTTTTATTTTTTTTAACCTTTTTCTTTTAATCTCTTAAAATATAATTAGTGGCCTTGACACAAACACTTTTCGTCTAAATAAAAAAAAATGATGAATGATGGAATTTGATAAATCAATTGTTATAATTTAAAGATGAGAAATCAAAATGAAATTCAAGTAAAAACTGAAGATAAAAAGTGTAATTTGCACCATTTTAAAGTAGGAGAAATTACAACACAGTGTAAAAAATAAAAAAATAATTACAAAGATATAATAGTGCAAGTTTTCTGTTAATATCCCCACCATTTGGTAAATAAAATCTCCTTTTCAATTATCTTGTAATTTCTGCTTTAAAATGTCTTTCTCATAGGTTGCTTTAATTTGTAAAATTTTTACCAAATCTAGACATATAAAATTTCTTCAATATAATACAAATCTTTATGGCTCCTATCGAGAGGATCTAGAATATAGTGACCTACAAGTCAAAATCCAAAAAGTCAAACAAGTGAACATGAGATAATCCAATCACTTTGAGTCAACGGTGTGATATGCAAAATCACATGATCTGTCTCACATGCTACCTATCCGTATGATGTTGGTTTGAGAATTGATTTTTGGGTGAAGTATTAATAAATGTTAAAATTAGATTTTGTGAATTGTTTAATTTTTTTTTATATTTTTTTTTTATGAATCTAAAGACTCTAGTAAAATGAAAATTACATAAAATGATAGTCATTTACATATTTGAATTAAATTTTTAGGAACAAAAGTATGTTTTTCCTAATGTAAAATTACACATTAAGGCAATCTGCATTATAGAGATTTTAAATTTTTTCTCATTTTGGAACAAATCTCATATTACGAATAAAAATGTAACACTCTAATATAACATTCCAATAACGTAACACTCTAATATAACACAATAAAAAACTCATGAGTGCATTTTTTCCAAACATAACAACATAACACTCCAAAAAATTTTCTTAGTGTACTTTTTCTAAACATAACACTCCAACATAATTTACAATTTTTCCCCCTTAATATACTTTTCCCAAACGTAATATTACAATCAATGTAATCCCAAACGTAATACTCCAATGTAACACATACAAAAACACTGAAAGCTCCTTAATGTATTTTTTCAAAACGTAACACTCACAATTTGAAATTATACATTTGCTCAAAACTTACTAAGAAATTTTTGTACCCATTTTGGAGTAGTTTGAAAAAATCCACATTCGTTTTTTAGAGTATTACATTAGAGTGTTACGTTGAGAAAAAATATACTAAAAAGTTTTTTTTATGTGTTACATTAAGGAATTTTTTTAGAGTGTTATATTGGAGTGTTACATTTGAAAAAAATACACTAAAGATTTTTTTTGAGTATTGCATTGAAATATTATGTTTGAGTGTTAAATTGAAGTGTTACATTTTAAAATTATACATTTGCCCAAAACTTACTAAGAAGTTTTTGTACTCCTTTTGAAATGTTTGAAGAATCTCACATCCCTTTAAAATGTTTGAAGAATATCATATTTCAAGTCATTTTTGTACTTTTTTTGAAATGTTTTCCAAATAAAAAAGATTTTTATATAAAAATTCATTCAAAATTTGATTCCCATAAATCGTGTAGCTTACCTTTCTAGCACAAAAAAGAAAAAAAAGAAGGAAACATAATAAAAATAAGGGTATAACCGTATATCTAATTTCTAAATTATATATTAAATCTACCTTTTCAAAATCAATAAGACTAATTGGTATGTAAGAAAATCCTTGGGACTAAATGGATCATCATTTCTCAATATGGGATTTATAGATAAATTTTTCTTGATTTTCAAAATAATTTTTTTTTATTTATAAAAAATTAAAAAAAGTATGTTAATTTGTAAGGATAAATTATAAATACATTTTCTAAAATTTGTTTAAAATTTACAAAATGCCTATTGTCAAAATTTTTTAAAAAATAAAATTCATAACTGCTTTTCTATATAATAATAAAATTTCCTAAATTATTAATTGAAATATATTTATGACATCATTAAATATTATTAATTAATTTGATAATTTATTAATAAAAGACGTCATTTGTTACAAAATTAGAAATTTCAACAGGTGAAATGTAATTTTCAAGATAGAAAATAATTCATGTTTTAAACAAATCTCAAAATGTGTATTTGTAATTTATCTTTAATTTTTTATTGCATTAGCTTTTTGGCTAAAATGTTTCCTTACCAAACGCCTAGGAGTGGGCGTCGTGTCGTGTTACATTGTATTCATGTCGTGTCAGAATTACCTCAACATTAATCTGATCTATTAATTATTTCGTGTTATCGTGTCACGTTGTGTCATTTTCGGTTTGCGTCTGGTTCGTATGGTTCGTAGCGTATTAATGTGTCATGTCAAAAAATTTCACTATTAACTAAAAAGATCAAATGTATGAAAAAAAATTAAAAATTTATTCACAAGTTAAATTTAATAAAACTTATATTTATTAAATGAAATTATTTATAAAAATATTTGATTTAACTAAATTTTATTTTCTTGATTTATAAAAATTATATTTTATTATTATATTTGTTTACTGGAATAACTCAAATAATAGACAAAAAATACATTAAGTTCAATTAAAAGCAAAACAAAATATATATTAAACTTAAAATCGTATTTTACATACTTTTTAATATATTTGATGTAATTATGTAAAAAATTAAAAAATGCCATGATACTCTTTAATGAAAATAATATTAAAATATGTAACTAAATCTTCATTATGTAGATTATCTATTTTCTATTATACAGATTTGACATTAACTCGACTTGTTTAATATTTGTGTTATTGAGTTGTTTCATATATATTTATGTCAGGAAATGGTCAACCCTAACCTGCTAACTTCGTGTACGATTTGAATCGTGTTATCGTATCGTGTCACAAATTCCCACTTATACAAACACTCCAATTAGACCATTACCAAAACAGTGTTTCAACTGTTTCACCAAATTTGTATTAACTGAAATGAGCCCTACTTTTTTTATTAAATCAGGGGAACATTTAATCTTTTATCAAATCTCACAGACGATCATTGGTGAATGATCGGGTAAATGACCAGCTGGTCAATCAAGTGAATGACTGATTTGGAAAAAAATTGATGAAAAATTACACTAGGCCAGATGACCGACCAGATTTGATGAAACGATTGGAATATATCGTATCAAATCAATTTTTTATTCAAATTTAATGAAAAATTTGTATAAGCATTATAGATACTCTTAGACCTCGTTTGGGAACATATTATTTTAGTATTTTTTTGATTTTTTAGCTAAAATATGAGGTAAAAAAACTAGTATGTTTGGACTGATTTTTTGATTTTTTACTAAAACATGTATAAAAAATAAAAAGAAAATAGAATTTTTGACTTTTTGATATAAGTTATAAGTTTTTAAATTTTTTTTAATAACTTTTAATTTTTAAATTAAAACAAATAGTTGTCAAACGAGGCCTTAATTCACTATAAATGCTGTAGATGAGACGTATCATATCATAGCCCACCTGAGTTCCCTAGTCTCTCTGTCTACATATTGAGACCCCCCCGGCCCCCTCCCTCCCTCTCTCTCTCTCTCTCTCTCTCTCTCAAACCTCTGTTTTCTTTCTCTCTCCGAAACCTTCCATGTTCCATTTTTATATATTTGGTTAACGCAATCGAATCGATACATACAGAGCTTCCTTATACTATTATTTTATCTCTTTCGCTATGTGAAGTCTACATGCAAATGTTGAAAAGACAGAGTTGATTCGAATTCGATTCATATTCATTGTTGAAAAATCATTGGAACAGAGAGTTGAAAGAAAAATGAAGAACGAAGAGAAAGCTCGGTCTCTGTTTGGAATCTCACTCTCTGACAGACCCATTTGGCATCAATTCCTCATTTGCTCTTCTGGGTTTTTCTTCGGTTACCTTGTCAATGGCGTCTGCGAGGTATAATCTCCTAAACCCCCTTGTTTGGTTCTCGAGAAAACCCAAGAAAAAAAAATAAATAAAAAAGGTAAAAGCTTAAGATAAAATTGGTTAATCAACTTAAAGGGGATAGTTGAGTTTTCTTTTTCACTTTCAAATCCTTTTGTTCCTTGTTTTTCAGTTTTTTAGCTTTTCTTTTCTTTTCTTTTCCTTGGGTTTTCTAGGAGCCAAACAGAGTAGTTGTCTTGTCAGCGGTTTTATTTTGTAAATCTCAATATATGATATTGTAACAGATGAGTTTATATATGATTTGATTCTTGCCTTAATTAAAGGAATAAAATATTGAGAAATCTTTCTGCATTCTCTGCTATTTGATTGGTAACAAAATGGGTCGATCAATTCAGTTTTCTTTTTCACTTTCAAAATCCTTTTGTCCCTAGTTTTTCTGTGTTTTTGTTTTGTTTTTCTTTTCTTTTCTTTTCCTTTGGTTTCCTAGTAAACAAACAGGGTAGTTGTCTTCTTGTCGGTTTTATGTGTATTTGCCAGTTTCAATATGATCTTGTAACAGATGAATTTATATAATGTTGATATTTGCCTAAATTAATTCTTTTTGCATGATTTTAAATGTTGCTCATCATATCACAATCACCATCATTATTTTCATTATCACATCATTAATATCCTTTTGTCTACACTAAAACCCCCCAAATATATATTTTTGAATTTTATTTGTGATAATCTTAATTGGGTTTTTGTGTTAATCTTAGATGGTCATCTTCGAGTACACCAATTAATTACTTCTGGCTCTTGAATTTCTTGATTTATTTCTTCAAATGTTTTACCTAACTTGTCTAACTTGTTTTTTTTTCTTAATATACTTATAATAAGATGGTCTGCATTTATTGTGATTTACCAATGTACCACTTGATTTGAATACTTTTTGATATTGTGTTATTCTCATTCTTGGATTGTGTTATTCTCATTCTTGGAGTAAAGGTTCCCAAAGGCAAACATTCTGTATATCTTTTTTGTAAAATAAAAAGTGTCATTACCTTTTTGGCAATGACTTAAATATCCACTTTTTGGGCTATTTCAGTTTAAAAATTTTTGTGGTTGATTTAACTGACAAAAGGGTGAGGAGTAACTTTCCCACTCAACTTGTGCAGTAACCAAAAAAACAAAAAACATTTACTGAAGGCATCAGTTTTTTTTTAAATATATTTTTCTTAAAAAAGTAAAAAAACTACTAAAAAAAACATTTGCCAAACCCCTGAACTTAATTACGTATTTTTTTTTCATTTCAGGAATATGTGTACAATAGGCTTCAATTCAGGTGAGTTGTCTCTGTGTGTGTGTGTGTACCGTTTCCTTGAACAATTTTTAATTTTTAGGTTTACATATGAATTTAATGTGTCTCGCGGTGATGGTTTATGCAGCTATGGTTGGTACTTTACATTTGTTCAAGGGTGGGTTTATCTTTTGCTGATTTACTTACAAGGCTTCAACACCAAACAAATGGTGAACCCGTGGAAGACGTATGTGAAGCTCTCTGTGGTGCTTATGGGTTCAAACGGACTTACCAAAGGTTCATTGGCTTTTCTTAACTACCCGGCACAACTTATGTTTAAATCCACCAAGGTAAATTGCTGATCCAATGGCTTGTGTTCTATGAAGCACGGATACTTCAAATAGGGTGACGTATCCGTATCGTATCCGTATCGGATACCGATACTCCTTGGATACTCGCGAATACGTATCGGATACTTATTAAAAGTATCGGATACTTCTTAATTATTTTTTCATTAATAGCTCTCTGTGGTGCTTATGGGTTCAAACGGACTTACCAAAGGTTCATTGGCTTTTCTTAACTACCCGGCACAACTTATGTTTAAATCCACCAAGGTAAATTGCTGATCCAATGGCTTGTGTTTGATTAGAGTTACTCATCAAAAAACATAATACATTGCAATAATTCCAATATGCATTTGTTGTATATGATGATTATTTGTCTCCTTCATTCTTCAAAAGAGACTAAATTGAATTGTATATGAGTTCTCCTATTTTTCAATATTTAGTAATAACTGAGCATTGACCATTGATTCAGTGGTTAAAACTTGGCTTAATAAGCTTGAGGTTATGGGTTCAAGTCTTGAGTCCATCACTTCTTGTATTATGCCAAAGGTTAGGTGTGTACACGATCTTTTCTCTCCCAAGCACACATTAATGTGTACTAATTGGGTGCTGTTTTTTTAAGTTGAGCATTGACATAGACACGGACATGGGTGTGGAAATAGGATTTTTTTTTTAAAAATTAGGAATACGGACACAGAGGGAATATTACAATAAATATATATTTTTATTTGCTATAAATAGGAATATAAATTTAGGGCACAAAGATGAGGCATTAATGTTTATGTCAATATATTTTTATTTTTTCCCCTAATTTGCTGGAGTTATTTTATTTGTTTGAGCTGAAAGAAGTTTGTAATGTAAAAAATGTGGAATTCCTGAATTTAGTGGATGATTTTAGAGTAGTTAGACATGGTTTTTGAGGATGCTTTGTTTGATGAGTTGTCACTACGATCTGTATGTGTGCTTAGCCGAACTTTTTTGATTTTGATTCTTGGTATTTCAGGTGCTTCCCGTGATGATAATGGGAGCCTTCATACCTGGTTTAAGACGGAAATACCCACCTCATGAATATATATCTGCCGTACTTTTAGTAGTCGGTTTGATCCTTTTCACTTTGGCGGATGCACAAACTTCGCCAAACTTTAGCGTGATCGGTGTTTTAATGGTGTCTGGTGCTCTAGTAATGGATGCCTTTTTGGGCAATCTTCAAGAAGCAATCTTTACCATGAATCCTGAAACAACACAGGTGTTTTGCATGTGATCTGATTTCTCTACTGGTGTTAAAATGTGAAAAAAAAAAACTACACCACACGTCATGAAGAAATCCTGACTTATACATTTAAATTGTTGTTTTGTACAGACGGAGATGCTCTTTTGCTCAACTGTAGTTGGAATGCCGTTTTTGATTCCACCTATGCTCGTGACTGGAGAGTTATTCAAAGCATGGAGCTCGTGTTCTCAGGTAAAGATCCAAAAAACTTTGTTCTTTCTTCGCCGGTTACATTTTTTAGTTACTTTTTTTTTTTGGTTTGTTGCCCACGCAGCATCCTTATGTATATGCCGTGTTGATCTTTGAAGCAATGGCTACATTTGTTGGCCAAGTCTCTGTCCTTTCCCTCATTGCCATTTTTGGCGCTGCCACAACCGCAATGGTAACTAGTTTGGTTTCATTACTGTCTATTTATGTGTGGATGCAATTAAATAACTTATCTGCCAAAACAAAGAAGAAAAAAAAAAACCCCAATTTGGTTTCTTGAAATGGTAGATCTCATAAAATAGAAAGTTAAGAAATATCTGAGGAAAATGTTATAATACCCATAAATACTTGCTTGGTACAAACGAAAAACAAGCGAGTTTCATGAATATTTATTAATGTGAATTCCACTTTCTATTTATTGAATGAAAATTTGATTACATAATACAAATTCTTTTTAGGCTCACTCATCCAAGGTTACACTCACTTAATATGCCTCTGCTATATATGATACAATATTTTCTAAGACTTCATTTCTCTTACAATTTTGGAAGACAACCTACTAAATTGCAACTTTTGTTTTTGTGCCCTCCACTAAACTGCAATTTCTTCAAAAAGTAATGAAGGAAAGGTCCATACATGTTATTAAAGAACTTTTTTTTGATTCAAATGTTATTAAAGAACTTGCCTATCAAAACAATAGTACTACTAATGGCCCCACTAAATTTATTTGTACCCTTGTTTGGAATCTCCACCTACAAATTTTGAAGTTTCTTGTTTTTCTTTGCACTCTCCACTCAATATCGAAGCTACCCTCCACTCGATCAAACCCTATCCCTGACTTCCATCCCAACCTCCACCCATTGCCACCAGCTCCGGCCACCCTTCCCCACCCCTCCCTAGCCCCTCTTGCCACCCCCAACCCCTTCTCACCTCTAGCGCCATCCCTAGCCACCCTCTCCCATTCCTCCCCCTGCCTTTCTCAATCCTTCATCACCACCATCATAGCCTCTACCTTTGTGACCCCCAACCTCCACAGCCTCTCACCCTTGCGACCCCTTTCACCCTACGGGGCCAACCCAACCATTCTCAACCTTCAGTGACCTCACCTCTGACTAAGAGGGAGTGAAGGTGCTGGTGGTGGTCGGTGGTGACTGGGGTGGAGGTGGGGGGGTTTGGGAAGTTAGAGATATGAATAAAATTAGAGTTTTGTTAGGGTAAAATTATAATAACAAAAATTTGAAGGGATGATGGGGTCTAAAGAAATTTGATGGGGGTAAATAACATCACTCCAAAACAAAGAAAAAATATATTTATGGGGCCAACCCAACCATTCTCAACCTTCAGTGACCTCACCTCTGACTAAGAGGGAGTGAAGGTGCTGGTGGTGGTCGGTGGTGGCTGGGGTGGAGGTGGGGGGGTTTGGGAAGTTAGAGATATGAATAAAATTAGAGTTTTGTTAGGGTAAAATTATAATAACAAAAATTTGAAGGGATGATGGGGTCTAAAGAAATTTGATGGGGGTAAATAACATCACTCCAAAACAAAGAAAAAATATATTCAATTTGGTTTCTTGAAATATTAGATCTCATAAAGATTTGATGAACGCGTATGCTATGTCTGTTTGAGTTTTTGGTTCTTCATTTTCAATTGGTTTTTTCTGAACCTAGGGTTCTTGGATTTGGGCCGACATGACTTATATATGATTTGTATGTCTCATGATTAAATTTTCTCCTAGGTGACAACGGCGAGAAAGGCAGTAACATTATTGCTCTCGTACTTGATATTTACAAAGCCATTAACCGAACAGCACGGGACTGGACTGCTGCTAATATCCATGGGGATCTTATTGAAGCTTTTGCCTGATAACAAACCCCATAAAAGATCGTCAACCTCATCTTCCATGGCCAAGATTGAGAAGTCTGATTATAGTGAAGAGAATAAAACTCGAGTTGAAAATGAAAATGAAGAAGAAGAGAAGAGGCCCTTGGTCTGAAAATAGGAGATTCATCACTATTTTTTTTTTTTGGAGGGTGATTTACTGGCCTTGAAAGGTGTTACAAAGTATAGAAATAAGAAGCTTGCAGTTTTTTTTATTCTTCCCTTTCTTTTTAGGCATAGGCTTTGTAGAGTTTGTACCATGGGCAGATGTGGAAGAAAATGATTGTACAAGCTGGTTTATATTGGGAGCCACTAAATGCACCTAAAAAAATATTGTTGGACACCTACAGTCCTTTGGATACCTCATTCTCAAATTTAAATTTTGTTGATTTGCTTTGAATAACCCAACTAATTGCCACCTTAACCTCCACCAAACTAAAGGGGTGGAGTGCATTTTGAGAGGACAAGGCTCTTGTTTTGTTGTGATTATTTTGCAAGTCAAGGGCTATATATATGTGTGGGTTTAAGCAATTATTTTGTATAATTGGGCTTTAAGTCTTAGACTTTGTAGACCTTACAGACATTTATTTATTTTTGACTGGTTATTTCACATGCTATAGATTCATGTACTAAGGTTGTTGAATGTGTGTTCGCATGTAAAATTTAATGTGTAAATCTCTTATGATTATGTGCGCAAATGTTGGAGATTTAGGGTTGATGTGGATATTGGAAATTTACTTATGTTTACCGTAAAGAGTGGTAGTTGGTGTACTTTTACTATATAATTTTTTTTGGGGTGTCACATAAAATCATTAAATGATAATCCAATTACATGATAATCCAATTACGACATATTTTTATTTAATTTTTTAAAATAAATTTAATATAATTTCTATTTTTACTTATTTTATTTTCTAAATGAATATAAAAAAACTAATTTGTTAAAATTATTTTTAATTTTATGTTATTAATTTTTTTAAAATTAACTATTAATTTTAATATCAAAATGTGTAATTATTTTGTTATTTTGATAACTTAATATATATTATACAAAATTATTATATAATAATTACACTTTTGTGATACGATATAATTATAAAAAATATACAAATAATTGTACTACAATTAATATATATATATATATATATATATATATAATATATATATATATATATATAAGTATTCATGTAACAATTTTATAGAACGATAGCACCATTATTATTAAAATAAATAATTAAAATCATATTTTAATTTTGATTTTAAATTGAAATTAAAATTATTCTTTTATAACACACATTGTACTATCAAATACCTTTTGAAAAAAAAAAAATAGTATGTGCATTACATGGGTTAACTTTTAGTAAATTATTAAAAATAGTGTTTTTCGCATGCTTAGGTGGCACATTATAATGGCTTACTCTTTTTTTTTTTTTTGAAAGAGTCACATCAGCATGTATTTTCTTAATTACATAATTCTATGCAAATCCAAACATAATTTAAATTATACTAACTTTATCTATTTTATATGTATTCTATTGGACAAATATTTGTTTTCCATATATTTTTCATCAAGATAATTCACAAACCCAATATCAATTTTACGTTTTACGTTTTTTTTCTTAATTTTTTTAAGGGCGTTAGGATTTTTTTTTTTAATACTAAATTGCCTTTTTTGTTTTCTTCTTATTTTTTTCGTTCATTATTTTATACCTAATATTAATTCTATATTAGACTATATTATGGATATATTGTTTAAATTTTATAGTGATTCAATATATAAAATTATACTTTATTTCTTACATTATTTTATATAATCACAACTCAACGGAGGAAAAATCTGCACAATAATGATACTCCTTTAAAGTTTGGATTTACTGCATGTGTTACCTTTTTAATTGTTGAATAGTAAGTTCTTTTATGTTTTGATATTATATTACAGATGATTAATCACTTCACACACTGAGATGTATCCGTGATTTAGATGTTTTCATCATTAATTTTTTTGGGTTTAGATGTTGTTATGTGATTCTTTCTTGGTTAGTTGTTGTTAAATTTATTTTATATAGTTGATATCTTAATTTAATTAAGAGTTTTTATTTTACAATCTCAGGGGATTACACTAGTGAAGCGGATTACACTATAGGTACATAAAACAATGCATGAATGGCAAAACCAACCCCAAACAAACCCTAGGCAAGTCTGAAACAGTGGGGAAATGACCTAAAATGATGGCTCGGAATGCAAAGAAATGGAGCTCATTCAATGGTCGGTAAATGAGGCATACAAGCCCGACTTTCAAATGCATTTAAAGAGTATGAAACATAGGAATATGACATTCATATAAGCTCTGAAATATGATGTATAATGACCCCAAAACAAGAAAATGCCTCAGCATATACATGTAATGGACCTCGAAACTCAAAGCTAGGCAAGTATATTGAACTACAAGCATGCAAAACAAACATCATTCGACCATGAGACCCAAAAAAAGAGCTAGGGCAGTCCAAAATATGCACAAAATCAGTTTAAGGCAAGGCCAAAAAGAGCTAAAATCAAGGGTCAACAAAGCATGCGAAGTAAGCTAGTGAACCATGATTTGCACTATAGCTATATGAAGCACATAAGAGCTCACCAAACCAGCCAAAAATAGAAGTATGACATGCCAAATAATGCCCAAAAACCCACTAAAACTCAGTCAATGCATGCAAGAATGATGTGCTCCTTTAGAAGGCCATGCAAGGGGTTGTTCCACACATATTAGATAGACATACAAAATGGCAAAACCACCTTTGGACAGAGGTTATGAGGACCCTAAAACTCACCAAAAAGGTCCTGAAATTAGTCTAGGAAGCATGCAAGTGAAAGCCCCTTTGAAAGGCCTTGAATAGGATTGCTCTACACATGCATAATAGACACTTTATATGGAAAAATGGGCTCCGGACAGAGTTCATGCAGACCTTAAAACTCACCAAATAGGGCCTGAAACATGGCTTCAAAACATGTAAAGTGGAGCTCGTTTGTAAGGCCAAAAGGGCCAACAAACAAGGTAAGGAAAGAGGGGGTCACCCCCCTCTGATTTTGACTCTCAAAATAGTATGCTAGCCATTGAAAATCCATTGGATTTCAGTAGCTAGAAGGCCAAACAAAGCACAAAACCAAGGCCTAAATGCAAGGTTCAAAATAAGATGCAAACAAGCATGCAAGGGGGTAGATGACCCCCAATAGAAAAATGACCTTAAACAATCTTCAAGAGGAGCTCAAAATAAGACTTTTTTCAATTTATGTCAAGGCTCTAAAATGCTTGCAAGTAAGGCTAAGATATGAAGTAAAATAAGCCTTAAAAGAGGGATGGAGCATACAAGGGGGTAGATGACCTCTAACAGAAAAATGTCCTTAAACAAACTTTAAGAGGGAATCAAAATAAGACTCTTTTCAGTTTATGTTAAAGCTTGAAAATGCTTGCAAGTATAGCTAAAAGATGGATCAAAATAATGCTCAAAAAGGGAAAAAATGGTTACCCTTGAAGACCAGCAGAAACCAGCAGCCTCTAGACCCAAAAACCCAACCTTGAACCTCTGAAAATACCCTCCAAGGACCTTAGGTTGATGATGGAAGTGTTAAGCTATGAGAGATGGTGCAAAAGGGCCAAGAACCAAGCAATTTAGAGCTCAAAAGAGAGAGATATAAAGAGAGACATATTGTTTAGCCCTAGCAATTTTCTGAACCCTTTCAAGTGAGGGATATGGTCTCTCTTATAGAACAAAAGGTCTAAATCTTCTCAAAGAAGCTTCAAACCAAGGGCCAAATGCCTTCCAACTGGCACAGTTGGAACACACTCACTGAGACAAACAGGATAGGAGCTGGCCGACCAGGTCAAAAGGGTCAAGGTGGTCGATCACCCCCAATGATGAAGCCCCAGAAGTTAGCTTTCCAATGGCGCAAACCTTGCATTAAAATTCCATCTGTGCAAAAAGTTATGCCTGTTTTGGTGAAGCCGCGCAAATTCGGTCCAACCGGATTGATGCCCTACTTCAACCAACCATATCTCCCCCATCCGGACTTGGCTTTAGGAGATTCTTGAGTGAAAAATGAAGCCCCGAAAGTAAGATTTCCAACGGTGATGGCCTCATATCTTAAATCCAAGTATGCAAATGAATAAGCCCGATTTAGCGAGGGCTGCTCCTCTCTCTCCTTCCCAGATTCATGCCGAATCACTTTTGACCACCTAAGTAGTCAGCCATCTGATTTTCTGGTCTTCCTTGTGGCCACATTGAAGCCCCAGAAGTTAGCTTTCCAATGGCACCAACCTTGCATCAAAATTCCTTCTGTGCAAAGAGTTATGCCCGTTTCGGTGAAGCCGCGCAGTTTTGGTCCTACCCGGATTCATGCCGAACTTCTTCCAAACTAGTTTTCTTCTTTCTTCTCCTCTTTTCGTCAACTCCAAACCCCTAAACAAGGTGTTTTGAAAGATTTTTCAAAGATTTCATCTCTCTTTCATTCATTTCCACTCTGTCCTGACTCGGTTTACCGAAAAGCATAACATTTAACAAAATGTGAGCCTCGAAACATTGTAAAAACTTTAATTCAAAAATGTTTTGAAAGAGAAGGTTTTAAGGTCTAAAAACCATTCAAAATAGCTTTGGTTCAAAATGAGGTATGAAGTTGAGATTTAACTCTCCCCTTGCCAAAGAAACTAAACTTTTGCCCTGCACACATTTCTCCACCAAATGAAACATCAGTAGTGCCCAATTCTTAAGGGCGGTTAAAAATGAGGTGTCTACAGAGTCCTACTAGGATTGCGCCAAACGGAATCTATAAAAGTTCATGACGAGACCTATGCACAGCTATCACAATTCTTACTTTAAAAAACGCAGAGCTTATTGTCTATTGTCTATTTGCTGACTTTGGCATCGGAGAGGTTTCCGGCACGTACCTGCCGGCTAGTTCACATTTGTATTTTTAGGTAGTAAAACGACGACGTTTTGAGGAGTGCAAACTTGATCAACATGATTATACGAGAAGATTATTTTGTACTCGTACAATAAGTATTGAAGTAATAATTTTATAGAATAATAGACCCAATATTATCAAAATAAATAATTAAAATCATATTTTAATTTTAATTTTAAATAAAAATAAAAATAATTCTTTTATAATATATATTGTACCATCAAATATTTATTGAAAAAAATATAACACATGTATCACACGGATCAATTACTAGTTGAAAACTATAACAATTTGAAGTTTGAAAAAATATTAGTTGAAAACTATAACAATTTGAAGTTTGAAAAAGGAAAAGGAAAAAATTAGACAAATGGTAAAATTTACAAATTTTAATAATTAAAATATAGGCAAATTACCTACATCTCTCTTGAGATTTAGCTAAATTACAGATTCTCCCTTAAGGTTTTAGAAATTAAATCCCGCTCCTGAGATTTATATTCACATAATAATTTAACTCCTACTGTTAACTAAACATTAACAATGGTTAGCTGGCATCATCAAAACATAAATTGATGGACGATATTGTCCTTGCTGAAATCCCTATGATAAATCAACAAAATTTTACAAAAGAATTTCATTAGATGGGGAAAAAAAAAAATTAGAACCATGTTTGATTTGTTGTTTAGAAAAAAATTTCAAAATTTTAAAAAATAAATAAAAACTAATTAATAAAAATAAATATGAAAAAATATATTTAATTTATAAAAATTATTTCTAACCACTCAAAAGATAAAATTATATAAAAATAATAATTATTTTTTATATTTTATTTCTTAACCAAATTAATTTTTAAAAATCAAACCAAACATATTCCAAGAATTTTTTGACAAGTCATTTTTTGTGTTTTTAACTTATTTAATTATTTTTTAATTTTATGATATGTTTACCATCTGACACTATAATATATAAGAGTTTTAAAGATCAATTTTTTTGATCTCTAAAAGTGAAAATTTTGTTACAAAAGATATTTAGGAACTAATTTCTATTGTCGTGAGAATAGTTTGCTAAAAAGTCGTCCTGAAAAGTAAAACATAAGGCTTTTAGTGATAAAATTTCAAAAATGTCAATAATAAATGGACTTTTAGAGACAAAATAATTTGGTCTTAAAATGGTTTATTTTTTGAGACAAAAAATTTGATACCAAAATGATAATAATTAATCATTGATGTTCAATTTTCGTTACAAAAAATTATAATAACGACATTTTTCATAACAAAAATGTTTTTCCTTTAAAAATATTTTTATCCCTAAATTTTGATCTCTAAAACTTTAATTTTTTGTAGTTTTCCCATTTTAATTTTGTATTTCATAACTTATTTAAAAATAATAATTTGGCTAAATTTCAAGAGAATCTGTAATTTAGTTAAATCTCAAGAGGGTGTAGGTAATTTGTCTTTATTTGTCAAAAGAACATTTTAGTCAATTTTAATATTCGTTAACGGCGTTAATTATGATGAGACGAAATATAAATTTTAATTTTTTTTAAAAAAAATCTATATTAAATGTCAAGAGATGGGTAGGTAATTGGAAAATGCGTTGGACTCCCAGTGGGGGTGCCGGAGGTCCTTGCTGATTGGTTGGAAAATAATTTTTTTTTTTTTTTTAAACTTCAGCCATTGGCAATGTGTCATGTGACACTGGGAGTGCTGGGGTCTCCAGCATCACTCGTAGGTAATTTGCCCTTAAAATATTCAACAATGCTACATACCACTAAATTCCTATCACTAATACCACCACTAATGATGTGACAAGTAAAAAATAAAAAAATTAAGATACAAAATACAAGTAACAGTGCCACATCTCTAATGCAACCTCTAAATTAGTAATCAGCATCATTTTTCTAAAATATTAAACCAAAGGACAACTAGAAAACCCAAAAATAGAATCCACCCCACCGACCAAAGACTGCTTACGTGGCGTAACCTATATATATCTACAGCGCAACGCCCAAATCTGGAAACAGTATTCTCCGAGTTTTTTTTTCTCTCTCTCTCTCTCCTCTTCTCATTACATACAAACTCTCTCTCTCTCTCTCTCTCCTCTTCTCATTACATACAAACTCTCTCTCTCTCTCTCTCTCTCTCTCTCTTCGATCGATACACGATCTGAACACGTTTGGTTCGATTCAATCAATCAAACAAGCACAGTTCTCGGCGTTGTGATCTCGAAGGTCTTCAATCGATCTCAGGTTTGCTACTTCTGTATATATAGGTTAATTGATCTTTGGAAGATTTGTTAATTTTAGCGTTTTCTTCGATCGCCATTAATGGAGTTTCAGGAAGCTACCAACGTAGTTACGACGATGGTCGGATCCGACTATTTTGCTTCTCCATGGTGGCGCTTTAGGGTTTTTCTATTCAGGGTTTGTGAATTTTGGATTTTTTTTAGGGTTACTTTGTTCACTTTGTCTTGCCGATTGATCGCTGGCCTCCTCTTTGGAATTGAGGATCAGGGGTTTCGATTGATAAATTTGATTCTGGTTTTGGAGTGTTTAGAGAAATCGAAAGCCTCTTTGGAATTGAGGGATCAGAAAAACGGATATTTAGGGTTTCGATTGATTTATTTGATTCAGTGTTTTGGAGGGTTTTCTTCATTGAAGAAAGTGGTTAAACGGTTGTGATTAATTTTATCTCTGTACATGTTCTGTGTATATATATAGTATGGATATAAAAGCAGCAAGGAGAGTTTCAGAGAGGACGCAGAAATCTGTTTATGATAGACTCAGAGGAGGACCTGTGAACAGCGTTTGTTCCTTCTGGCTTGCTGGGAGATGCACCAAGAGCCCTTGTAGATTCTTGCACCCTGAACCACCACCTTCACAACCACCCAACCCTTCCCAATACCGCCATTCTAAAGCTTGGCAGAGGGGTCCGAACAATACCGTCAAGAATTCATCTATTTCACCGAGTGAAAGAGCTGGGCCTGAACATGAAAGTACTAAAAAGGCTCAAAAAAAGGTGTGCTCATATTGGATTTCGGGTAATTGTGTGCATGGTGAGAAGTGCAAGCACTTGCATTCATGGTTTTCCGGCAATGGGTTTTCGTTGTTGGCAAAACTGGAAGGGCACAATAAGGTAATTGTTTGTTGATCATCCTTTTATCTTTATTTTTGTGCTTGTTGGAGATGATTTTTAGTTATAATGGCTAATATATTTGGGACTTTGGTCATAGGCTGTTACTGGGATTGCCCTTCCTTCTGGCTCCGACAAGCTTTACTCTGGTGGTAAGGACAAAACTCTGCGGGTTTGGGACTGCAATAATGGTCAGGTTGGTACCAATTTTGCTTATGATCTTGTCCATTATGAATAAAATCTGGTTTGCCCTGCAACTGATGGATTTATATGATGTACTGTTGTTATTTGTGGCAAATGCAGTGTGTTGGTGTGGTTAATCTCTTGGGTGAAATCGGGTCTATGATTAGTGAAGGTCCCTGGGTTTTTGTGGGCTTGCCAAATGCTGTTAAGGTAGTTCAATTTATATGGATTTCCAACATCATTATAATATTTTCTTGCCTAATCTTGTGATCCAATTTGTTATTTGCATTGTCATTGATATTTTTAATTAAAATGGATGTTGCAGGCATGGAACACCCAGACTCTCACTGACTTTACTCTTAATGGACCAGTTGGGCAAGTTTATGCCATGGCCCTAGGCAATGATACGCTTTTTGCTGGGACACAGGTAAATACTTTTAGGACTTGCCAATTGTTTCCATTATTTAATCTTAGATTTGTCCACTGAATTTTATTATCTAATCTTTTTATTTTATATTGGAATTTGAAAATTTATATGATCTACAATTTTACTGATTTTTTGCAACAGGATGGCACCATATTGGCATGGAAATCCAATTCTCGGTCAAATTGCCCTGAACTAGCTGCATCGCTGAAGGGTCATAGTCATGGTGTAGTCTCTCTTGTTATTGGTGCTGATAGGCTGTACTCTGGTTCCATGGACAATACAATAAGGGTAAGTTGGTGTTGATTATGATTTTTCCCTGTTAATTGTTTGGTATGGTTTCACTCAATTGGCCCATCATCTTAGATTATGGGATTTCCTTTTTCCAGGTGTGGGATCTCAACACCTTCAAGTGTACCCAGACACTAATTGGACATACTGGTGTGGTCATGTCTGTTCTTTGCTGGGAGAGCTGTTTATTGTCCTGTTCATTGGATGGAACAATAAAGGTTTGCTTCTTTATATATATATATATTGTTATTTGTTCATAATATTTAAGTGCTGATCTACTATAGCCTAATCCTCTATTCTGATTATCCTTTTCTGAGCAGGTTTGGGTTGCTACTGATGGTGGGGACTTAGAAGTGACCTATACTCACAAAGAAGATGATGTAAGTTTTTTTTTTTTTTTTAAAATAACCATTCCTTTTTTATGCATTTTTGTACTTGTTTAATTTTCTTTGCTACTTATCAAAATTTATTTTGTTTCAAACTGGATGATCTTGTTGGAAGGGTGCCTTTTATGTGTTTAAATTCAAACATCTAAGACTTTATAATCAATCAATTGGAAGAATGCCGATTTATAGTTGCTGAAGGACTGTTTGACTTGAAATCCTGTAAATTATACACTAGCAAATTATCTGACTTGGTTAATATGGATAGCCTATTAATGGGTGAACTTTTGGGTTACTATGTCAACACTAAGACATCACATAATCAAATTTTTTGCTGGATTTGATGGCTAGTTAAAAGTTGTGCGTTTGTGGGGATTATTATCAATCGAAGTCTTGAAGTCAAAATAGTTAAATGTTTTTCACATGATCCTGTTAATATGTTTCTTGTTTTATTGGTTCGTGTGAGAGTCATGCTAAAGAGATATGACCAAACTATATACCCAAAAAAGAGATATGACCAAACTGAAGTCACATTATCAAGTTCATTTCCATCTCCAAAGTTTTCATTAGAGAAGAAGTCTAGATAATGTAAATTATGTACTCAAGCCTCCATTTTAGAATCCACATGTGCAAGTGATTCTTGCTAAAGCATCTGTGCGCGTGTGTTCTTTTTTCCCTTCAATCTTTTCTTTACTTCTATTTTGGAGTTAGGGTTGGGAACTTTCAGATAAGTTCCACAAGGAAAATCTGTTAAATTGTTGGCATATTTTAAGTTATTGCTCTCTTCATATTAAAAAGCTACATATAAACTATAATTGATCATACAATTCAACTGTTTCAGGGTGTTCTTGCACTTTGTGGCATTCACGATGCAGAAGCAAAACCCATTCTCCTCTGCTCATGCAACGACAACTCTGTCCGCTTATATGACTTGCCATCGTAAGTATATCAAAGAATACTCTAGTTTTACAATTTTTCTAGGAGTCTCTATCTACTTAGGTAGTGATCTGATACCTATTTTTTCTTTTGTTGGATTCAGATTTACTGAAAGGGGAAGGCTATTTGCAAAGCTAGAAGTCCGAGCAATTCAGATAGGTCCCGGGGGCCTTTTCTTCACGGGTGATGCAACGGGGCAATTGGCAGTGTGGAAATTGGCCGGAGAGTTGAGTAGTGCAGTGGCAGCTTCATGATAGTATGTTTTGTACAAACAAACTGCCCTGTAAATATTACATACTGAGGAGGAGAGGAGAGATGTGTGAGCCATTTTTGAGATTGGAGAAAGCTTTGATGTCTTTGGAAGGAGATGTAATTGACCCTGAGTTGAATTTTTTCTATTTATTTAATTCTACTAATATCAATGGAGAGCAATCTTCTTTAATTCTGGAGTCACAGTATACATTCAATTCCTGGAATATTTAATGATTTGTAAAATGAGTTGTAATTGTCAAATTTTTATACACTTTGTTCTTTATCAGCATGTCAAAGGAAATATTTATAATTTTTTTTGATTTGGAAATTAGTTATAATTCAGTAAAGTCACACTCTCTGTACCTCTTTCATAATGAGATACGTGTATCATTCGTATTTTATTCAAGGAAAAGAATGAATGTCATTTGGTGTGAATCGTTGCTCTTCACATTAATAATCTAGTATTTGATCCATACAATAATTAATGAAACAATTTTCTCGTTCATTAACGTTTCTGTTTGGGATCATTTTCATATTTTCATTCAATAATGAAACAAACCATCCAAAATTTTTAAATGATTTTTTCATCATAAAGATGTCTTTCAATTATCAAATTATTCAAAAATTTAAATATAAAAATACAAATATACGAACTTATTTTGGGATCGTTTTCATTTTTTCATTCAATAATGAAATAAACCATTCAAAACTTTTAAATGACTTTTCATCATCAAGATATCCCTCAATCATCAAATTATTTAAAAATTTAAATATAAAAATACAAGCTTATCGCATTTACACCCCATTAATGTGCATAAAACATCTTTCTATACAAATACAGTATTATATTTGCATAGAACTTCCCATCAAACAAAGATCGTTCTTGAACAGATCAGTTTAAAATATATATATATATATATATATAAAAAGAAGAAGGTGACTCACGTAACCCTATCACTGCAAAAACTGAACCCCCCACATACAAAACCCACAACCTCTCTCTCTCTCTCTCTCTCTCTCTTATGGCTTCAAAACACACAAAGAGGCTTACAATAACGTCACTAACCATAGCTGATGATTATTCAGCTTCATGGTACTATGCTATTGTTCTTGTTTCCCTCATCATCATCTTAACCTCTTCTCTTCTCATGGCCATGGATATTATTGAGTTTGAGCCTGTTGCTCTTACTACTACTCTTAGAGAAAGCAACAATAAACAGCAGCAGCTGATGATTCTCAAGAACTCGCCACCGTGCGATGAAATCTATCTAGTCGGGGAAGGAGAGACTCTTCAAACCATCGGGGACAAGTGCGGCGACCCTTTTATTGTGGAGCACAACCCTCATATTCATGATCCTGATGATGTCATCCCTGGACTTGTCATCAAGACCACTCCTTCAAAAACCTCTCGGGAGTTTTGCTCAAGTTTCTTTGATTTTTCTTTGTTTGGTTGGCAAGAATATGGGTTTCTTTTCTTTTCTTTGGCTCTATTTTCATGCATGATGACAATATATGATACTTCTCTATATGTATGTTTAGAAAAAACTATCGTGCTTTTGAAAAATTAAGAATTATTATGCAAAATATAGTTAAGCGAGTTATACTTGATCTCTTAATTACTTAATAAAAATTCATTAATATTGTTCTACTTGTAAAATTTTCTATTAGGTTACTGCTTGAAAAGTGATGTTTTCGACATTTAAAGAACTGTAAAATATATTAGGTAGGTGAGTATTAGAAATCACAAAAGTGAATGAGTATTGGCGCTGTTGGGAAGTAAGGATTGAGGCTAATATAGCCTCATTTGTAAAATAAGCCAAAAAGCCCCACTATTCAACCTTTTTCATTAAAAAAAAAAAAAAAAAAAAGAGGTGCAGCGGCTGGCAGTGTAGGCACAGCCTACTGTCAACTAGACAACTTGTTACATCAATGGGTAAATTATGATTTTACCTCTTTATATCAATTTAAAAAATTATACTTTTAGAGATAAATTTGTCATTTTAACTTCAAACATCATTTCAACACATTTTTTAATACAACAATTCAAATAAAATCCATCTCATCTTCCCAAACACAAAAATTAAAATAGCCTACTAAAATAGTCAAAAAACCAAAAAACCTACTAAAATAGTCACTTTCCAAGCGAGGCCATTATCACATTAAAGTTTTTCATTGATATTGATTGAAAACATTATGTGGACAATAACACATACTACTGAATAATTACCTGGTTGCTTGCTTGAGAAAAGATGCACCGAAGATACCTTAAATATGTTAACACAAATATTCCAAATAATAATAATAAAAACAGCTATATATCATTTATTTTTTAACCCTTTTATATCTCTGGGGTTTGTGGCAAGACATCATTGTATTCATTAATTTTTTAATAATTATTTTCTAACGAAGAATTCAATTTTGTGTATTCATGTTGACAGTGATATAAAATGATGACAAAAAACTAGTGAAATATAGCATTTCTCAATCCAAAAAATATGGGTAAATCACACTTAGCAAACCTCTCAACACATGAAGCAATTCTTTACGGATTTTACACAGGCTTTACAAGCCTAATCTTTTGCAATTTGTAAACCTTAGGTGATTCATAATCACTCTCAAAGTTTCAAGAACAGTTTGTTACAAGATTGAAATAGGGGTTTTTGCTTCCAAACAAACAAAGCTACAACAATATTCTCTCAGAGATAGATACAAAATGTGAGCTCAGAATTTTTGTAGTTCCTCTCACAGGAAGATATGCTTAAAGCTATAAGGTTCTATGTATAATTTCTAAGACAAAAACGTAAACTCAGTTCAAGAGTTTCTTCAGAAAATCAGAGAGAAATGAGAGTATGTGAGTGATGAAAAATCAGAAATGTGTATGGCACGTTGTTTGTATCTCTTTGTATCAGTGTCTTGGTGTCTAATGCATTTCCCAGGCCTCTGTGTATATAACACAGGTAATGCTCTGTTATTTCTGACAGACCCATCATCTTCTTTCCGTTGAGTGATGGGTTAGTGATGGCTGAGGATGATATATAATTGATTGTTCAGATATTCCTGACATCCATATGTGTTTTGCCCGTTGACTGATGGGTGTACTGATGCAAAACAATTCTCTTCTCTTCTCAGCACTGCTACTGATATATTCACTTTGCACAGTCGTTCGTTCGTCCGCCCGGATACCTTCCCGGACATCCGGTTAGGCCCGGTCGTCAAGGATGTCGTCCGCAGTCATCGAGCATACTGTTGATCTGACATCCGGAGAGAAGCAGAACTAAAACGGAGCAAACTAAAACACACCACCGGTCATCAGCCGGACGTTCGGCCGATCGTCCGCCAGACCACCGCCCCCCTATGGGCTTGGCTGTTTTGGACTGTTGCTCTGCTGCTGTTGCAGTTGTGGGCCTGGTTTATTCTTGTTTTAACATCATTTGGGCCTCTAAGAAGATAGATTACTGTGATGGAAAAACATCAATTAAATGTATTCAAATAAATCAAAAACAAAATCAAAACAAAAATAGAAACAATCATCAAAATCAATTATGGCTAACAGGTTATATTGATAAAAAAAAATGGTATAAGTGTTACATGAATTAAATCTTTAAAAGAAGTCAGTATAATTATATTAAAAGTGTGAGATTAATTGTATTTTTTTCAAATCCCAAGAAGGGTTGAATGTAATTTATCCTAATTATTACATAATTAATAAAAATTAATAACATCTTGTCATATAATTCAGTGACTTCAAATGCTGAGCACAGCGAGTGATATATTAGGGTAAATTACACTTTGTCCTTTTATATTTGGTCACTTTTCTATTCTGGCCCTTAAAGTTTATTTTTTTTCACTTTGATCCTTCATATTTCAAGTTTTTTTTTAATACTTCTAAAGCTAATTTCTATTAAAAATTAGACAAAATATGACATTTTATCAGTCATGTAATATAAAAATATTTTATTATATATAATTTATATTTCTAATATAAACTTAAATTTTAATATAATAATATTTTTTTTTATATCATGTAACAGTTATTATAACTTTTCCTCTTTAATTTTGAACAAAAATTAACTTTAAGAGTAAACTAAAAAACAACTCGAAACATAAAAGATCAAAGTAGAAAAAAATAAATTTTAAAAGCTAAAATAAAAAAAATGATCAACCATAAAGGAAGCAAAATTTACCCTGACATATTAATATTCCTCATTTCCAATTACTTCTAAAGTCAGAGTACAGTTGGAAGGTTGAGTGATATTGTTCCTTGATTTTATTTACTTATGACTCCCTTTTTGTTCTTTATATTATTTATTTGTCACATGGATGAACATGAAATTATGACTTGATTTTTAAAATTATTGTTTTTATAATTGATAAGAGGAGAATAAAAAAATAAAAAAAAATGAAAAACTGCACAACACCATGGTAAGACTCGAATCCAAGTAATCATGCTTGGCAAGAAAAGCAACTCATTTACTATACCTGTGTGTGTGTGTGTGTGTGTGTGTGTGAGAGAGAGAGAGAGAGAGAGAGAGAGAGATGTCTAGAAATAATTGGTGCAAAATATGGTGGGGAAAGCTGCTAAATAACTCAACTGCCAAACAATACCAAATCAAATTACATCACTCAGTTTAGCTCCTTCACTAGGTCTCCAATAACCAACCTTTCCAAAACAGGACTTTTTTTTTTGTTTTTTTTTTTCATTTCTGCACATCACAAGCAACATTTTAGAAATTGATTTGAAAGAATGGATACCATCCTTAGGAATAGAAGTATGAAACTTGAAAGGAAAAAGGCAACAACAACAACAAATGCAGCAACCATTTGACAATGATCAACCGAAACTCCGTCTGCATATTCTTTTTAACTGAAACTGCACGAAACCCTAAATATTGTTCAATTGGCATGGCACAGATGACATTTACACCGTGAACTGGCTTTGCTAAAATCTGCAAACACCACATGAGACCGAAAAGAAAAGTGTTTTAGAAGCAAACTTACGGTGAATGATGGAAACACTAAAATAAAATGCTATGCGACTGTGTCAGGGGGAAGGAAGACGCATTTTGTCTAAAAAATTATTTGCATGAGCATCCCGTAACGCAAAAACGATTCCAAGTGTAACAATTTAAAGAAAGAAGTTATTAAAATTGCAATCGAATTACACTATGCTTAAACATGGTTACACCATTATCTTGAGCATCATATGAATAATGGAGTTAGAGTAAGTACATTATTCATATCCATATACAATAGTTATGAGAAGACAATTTCCATCAAAATGAAATGCAGGCAAAAAATAGTGTAAAAAAAGGTTACATATTTTCTAGTTTTCAATTTCTTACAGTTTTTGACCATTTGTTTGACCACAAAGATTTGTTTTGAATTACATAAATTTAGTTGGAATTAATCCCTAGCTTAAGTTTATTAAAAAATTGACAAACAAAATATGAACAATGCTTAATATCCTTGTTTCAAAATGGTATATACATCATGTTTGCGAGGAAGAGTGAGTTCATTAGGTCAACTCTTTCCAAACACCCCTCCACCCAAAAAATTAAAAAACATAAATGAGGAAAAAAAATGTAGATAGAGGTAAAAATAAAAATAAATAAAAAGAAGCCTAAAAGCATCATAAAACACGAAGGATATGTTTGGTGGAGCTCTGGAAATGTGATTCTACACCTTGGTTTGAGTATTGTGTTCGGTTAGAATTTTCAAAAATTGATTCCGCGCCCACTTTTGAAAACACGTCTACCCGGTCATCCTCTCAGACATCCGGCTGGTTGACCGGAATATTTTTTTTTTTTGTGTGTGTGTGCGCGCGCGCGCGCAATTGGCACCTATTATTTTTATATTTTAAAAAAAAAATATTTTCAAAATTTTTAAATTTTTTTTATGAGTTTTCTATAGAATTTTGAGTTGTGTGTTTGGTTATGAGTTGTAAGTTTTTGAATCAAACAGCTTTTCTAATTTCAAAAATTCAAAACTCTTTTCAAAACTCATAACCAAACAAATTTTGTATTTTCAAATCATAATTTCAAAACTCACAAACTCAAAATATAACTCTATTCTTAAATCATAATTCTAAAAGTCTACCAAATACTACCGAAGTTTTTACTGTGAAATTGTAATGAAATTAAGGTATTAAAAATGGGTTTTAAGTTAAAACTTTTAACTTTTAAGGCATTGATTAATATATTGTAAATAGTAGGATCAAGGTCCAAAAACCATGATAAGTCAAGGAATAGCCAAGGTACTTTTCACTCATTTTAATATTTCTTTTAACCATTTCATCATTTTCAAAGCACTTTTTGTACAAATCCCAACAATAAACAATGCTCATGGGGGCACTTATTGGCATTTGGCTTTTACAAATGGCAGAAGAGTCCTTTACGATTGGAAAAAATATATATATATATATATATATTATCTTTATCACTTAATCAATAATAACGAACCTTCTTATGTTGGTAAAAAGACTTGACTTCAACACTCCAAGGAAGCTTAAGCCCTCTCTTCACTTGACATATGGAACCCACTTAACATTGCGTCTAGTTAGCATGTTTGTTGATATATTAGTTAGTCTTTCTAATATTATTGCATTAGTTTTGGTCTTTCCTTCCCCATAGCATTTCCACCAATAGTGATCATATCACACTTTAATACCATTGCATTTACCTGTCTTCATAGCACTTTATTGAACCATATTAGTCAATTCTCTCTCAATTTCTATTCAATTAATTCTACTCTTACCATTTCACTAATATATTCATTTCATTTCGTGAACAACATCACTAATACTTTCCTATATTGATTTATGTAGTTTTTGAAGCAGAATCCATTTCAAAGGCACACCTATAAAAGAGGCCATTCTGTTCCCCCTTTAGACTGAGATAACAATAAAAGAAAGGTAAAATATTTGAGAAATAGACTAGGATATGATGATGCTTACATTGAGCAATGGAAGAGCGAAAACAGAGTAATAGAACTTCAAATAGAACCCAAAAAACCAAACTGTCATCCATAGGCACCTCTTTAGCAGAAAAGTTTCTGAAAAATGGAAAGTAATTGGGTTAGTGACAACAACCAAATGGAGACCAATCAACATATGTGACTGAAACATTAAAAATTAGCAAGGCTTAAAATCTACAGTTCTACATTTTTATTTTTTATTTTTTCAAGCTAAGAAGAACATCTTTTTGCAATTCAATATTTCATACATGCTAGCAAGGCGTTAAGTTCATTACTTATGGTGCAAACAGAGGGCCAAACTCCTGTTTGCACCTAAAATAACATAAATAAATGGAAAGAATGCAGTCTCCTCCCCTCCCAGAGTCCCACTAAAGAAAAAAGGTATTGTTGATTCATTGTGGCCGCGCACATAATCATGATTGCGTATGGGGTGTGAGTGGCAAAAAAAAAAAAATGGAAGAGCAGAAGGGATTGGGTTCTTTGTTTTCCTTGTAATTTCTGTGTTTGAAAAAGAAAATGTTGTTATAAGAACAACAATAACAACAAAAGCACCTACATACAACAGCGGCAGCAGCAACAACAACAACAACAATAATAACAAAAATATTAAACAAAAAACAGCTTTGAGGTACCTGGTGGTTAAATTGCACATATTGTGGTGGGAATTTCATTGGAGTTTATTTATCCTCCTCCTCTGAGCCAAAGATGGATCTGCCATCTATCTCGACGCAAGGAATGAAAGCTACGAGGGGCCAATATTCGCCTGTTTCAAACTGCTGTTTTAGTATGGGACATTCATAGATACACAAGTGCAAAAGCGAAGGAGGCAACCCTTGTTCTGGAAAAGATGCGAGCCTAGGACAATCACCAATAAAAAGACTTTCAAGAAAGTTAAGGTTTTCAAAGCCCTTGGAAGATAGGCTCTCCAGATTTGAGAAACTCCAAATGCACAGTTTTATCAGAGAGGAAGGCAACAACATCCCATCCATTGGGAAGCTAGACACCTCAAGATATTCTTCTTGCACAATAACTGCACCTCCAATCCTGAATTCTATAAGAGAGGAGAATTTGTGAAAATTCCACTCTGACGGGGGCTTACTGGTCTTGATGTTGCTGATGCTAAGTGAAGTGAGATTGGTGAGGAAATTCCCTTTATCTATAAAGTAGGAGACAATTCCTCCTCCTGCAGGGCAACTGTTTATTGCCAGTCGTTGAAGCGAAGTGAGGGGGAACCATCCTTCTGGCAAGTATTTGAGGCTCTGACAATGCCAAATATCAACATACTCAAGAAGTGGATACTCAATTCTCGTCGCCTCCTCTACCAGCAGTTGCTCCAACTTCTCACACCACCAAATCTTAAGGTGTTTGAGCGTGGTGGGTACCCCACCTAAGTATGTGAGGGATGGACAGCCAGTAACCTGTAATACTTCAAGATTATTATTATTACCATTCTGCATTATCCACCCAGATAGGGATTTCAGAGCCTTGCATTTATCAACCACAAGTTTTCTCAGAGTAGACGGAAACCCTGTCTCTGGAAAAGAGACAAGACTTGGACACCTTTTGATTCTCAGCTCTCCAAGAGAAGTGAAGGTGTGCAGCCCCCGTGGCAGTTTTTCTAGCTTTTCACAATTATATATTTCTAGAAACTCAAGGCTCACTATGCAAGGTATCTCCTGATGCTGCTGCTTCTGTTGTTGCCACTTGTTTTCATCATCCTTTTCTTCTTCAAACAAGGAAACAAGTTGATGACAATTTCTAATCACCAAATGTTGTAAGGCAAGGAGACGGTTTTGTAGTCCAACATCATTCTTCCACAGTGTTCTGAGTTCTTTGCACCCATAAATCTTCAATTTTTCGAGTCCCATCAACCCCTCAGTAACAAATTTCGGCAAGAATGCAAGTTTCTCTATATTCTCAAACCTCAAGGAAGTTACTGAACTAAGGTGCTTAGACATTGCATTTTCCAACATAACTTCATCAGCTACACTTGGATTGCAAAGAAAGTCGGGGATTGAAACATCTTTCATATCCAAGGAAGTAAGGGATGTGGGTTCAAGTGTGTTCCTCGCCTCAAGGAGCATTTGAAGGCTTGGAAGCGGAGCATCCCTTATAGATAGGAAGGTGAGTGACTGGAAGATGAGGCTGGAAACATCGACCAGCAATTGTGGACACTCATTAATCGTAAGACTACTCAAACAAGGAAGATCATAGGGCAACATTCCCAAAAGTTTGGGACATTTTTGGATGGAAAGCTCACTGACGCAGGGGAATGGTTTAACTTCCTTGTTAACTCCAAAAGTGGACCAATCTACCCATTCTGGCATATTCACAAAGCTTAGTCTCTCTAGTAACGGAAAAGGCTTGGAAACACCCTGCCCATAGAACTCAAGACCCACATGCTTTATCGTACTCATTCCTTCAATATAAAGCTCATTAAGTGAGGGTAGCTGTCCAAGTGGTGGTAAGGATAAGCAATTTTGACAATTTTCTAACCTTAGGCACGCCATTTTGGAGAACAAAGGATCTCCTATCCATGCTGGAAATCTTGTACCAAAGTAGTATCTGATGTGGAGGCTTTTCAAGTTCTTCTGAGGTTGCAGCATGTCAAGTACTTCTGTTTCAACTATTTCATTCCTTAAATCATCTGAGCTCTTACTCCATTCCATTGATAACACATCCAAGTGGTGTTTCTCATTAAAGCTGGCACCCCGTGCATCGAGAGGATCCACCAGGTTCTGCAACCCCGATATGCTAAGCGTCCCACCAAGATGAATTAGGTTCCCCAACTCACTTATTTGAGACCCAATGTTAACAATAAAGTTGGATAGTGTCCGGAGACTTGTCAGCTTACCTATTCCCAGTGGCATTTCTTCTAAGGAATCTGCATCGGTAATATCAAGATGACGTAGGCTAATTAGGTTTCCCATGTTCTTCGGAAACTTTTTCAGATATCCACATCCTCTTAACATCAGCGTCTGCAAATTGAAGAGAGTCCCTAATGATTTAGGTAATCTTATAATTGGGGTGTAGGAAAGGTTAAGAAACCGCAGAAGTTTCAAATCTCCAATCGAATCTGGAACTTGATTGATACGATATCTGCTCAAGCTTAGTGCCCTTAAGCATGGCAACTTTGGCAACAAATCAAAGGCAACATTTCTTGTCAAATAACCAGAAGTTTCTTTCAAAGAAAATGGTAAGAAGGTTCGTAAATGCTTGGCTTTATGGAAGCTCTCAAACTTTTTCACCCCATCACAATAGCCCTGCACGTAGGATAAATGTCGAGTTCTATATACATTTATGTATTGCTCTTGATCGTTCAATTTATCTTCCAGTCTAAAATAATAATCTCTTGCAACTGACTGAGCCAAATCATTGATGAGGTCATGCATCACAAATTTTGAGCTGTTACCGGTTCGTGATGGTTTGAAAAAACACCTTGACAACAATTCATGGAAGTACTCACGTCCTACATCTTCCATTTGCTTCACTATTTGTTGTTGAATGAAACCCTCCGCCATCCACAACAAGACTAGCTCCTCCTCCTCAAATTCATAGCCCTTAGGTATTGTTGAGCAATATGAAAAGCAGAGCTTCAAATGTGGAGGGAGATGATTGTAACTTAATCTTAAAGCTGGGAGGATAACGTTTTCTGAATGTGGTAAATCCCATATTTTACAATGTAATACATCTAGCCATTCCTCATCTCGTCCTTTGTATCGTAAAAGGCCACCAAGTGATCTAGCAGCTAGAGGCAAACCTCCACATTTCTCCACAATATTCTTCCCAATTGATACCAAATTTGGATTTCCATCAATACTTGTATTCTCAAAGGCATGTTGTGCAAACAACGACCAACAATCTTCGTCTGATAGGATCTCGACGTCATGAAGTGGAAAAGTTCCCATCACTGCTGCAACGTCTCTGTTACGTGTTGTCACCACGACTTTACTCCCTTGGGCTCCACAATTGAAAAGGCTCTTCAAAATATTACAATCACTGTATTTTTTGTTCCAGACATCATCTAAAACAATTAAGAACCTCCTTCCAGCCAAAACGTGCTTTAGTTGAACTTGAGCTTGATCCAAGTTATTAAAAATAAATAATCTAGAAGTCACACACTCAAGAATGCATGTTGTTATTCTCATAATGTCGAAGTCATCTGACACACAAACCCAGGCTTTTAGATTGAAATGCTCGTTCACGGTTTCATGGTTGTATACCATCTGAGCAAGGGTGGTCTTGCCAATCCCACCCATACCCACAATGGGAATTACGCCAACATTGTTTTGACTAGATTCATCCCCCCCTAGGAGCAACTCAATTATCTTTCTTTGATCCTTTTCTCTGCCATAAATACGAGATCCATGTAATAAAGATGTAGACGGTGGTCTTTGCCAAATCTGAACAGATGTGGTTCCAACAATCTTTTCTGAATTGAGTTCTGAGCGTTGTTGAGAACGATTGTGTAATATGGTAGTGATCTCCTCTATTTCGACAACACTTTGGAGATGATGGTAACTTTCTTCGTGTGATAAATCCCATATTTTACTATGCAAGACATCTACCCACTCCTCATCTCGCACTTTGCACCTCAAAAGACCACCGAGTGTTGTAGCAGCCAGAGGCAAACCTTTACATTTCTCCACAATTTTCTTACCAATTGATTCCAAATTTGGATTTGCATCAATACTTGTAATCTCAAAGGCATGTTGTGCCAACAATGACCAACAATCTTCGTCTGATAGGACCTCAATGTCATGAAGTTCAACAGTTCCCATCATTCTTGCAATGTCTCTGTTACGTGTTGTCACCACAACTTTACTCCCTTGGGCTCCACTATTGAAAGGGCTCTTCAAAATATTCCAATCACTGTATTTTTTGTTGCAGACATCGTCTAAAACAATCAAGAACCTCCTTCCAGCCAAAGCCTGCTTTAGTTGAACTTGAGCTTGATCCAAGTTATTAAAACTATGTGTTTGGGAAGTCACATACTCAAGAATTTCTTTTGTTATTCTCATAATGTCGAAATCATCTGACACACAAATCCAGGCTTTTATATTGAAATGCTCATTCATGGTTTCATGGTTGTATACCATCTGAGAAAGGGTGGTCTTGCCAATCCCACCCATACCCACAATGGGAATTACACCAACGTTGTTTTGACTAGATTCATCCCCCCCTAGGAGCAACTCAATTATCTTTCTTTGATCCTTTTCTCTGCCATAAATACGAGGTCCATGTAATAAAGATGTAGACGGTAGTCTTTGCCAAATCTGAACAGATGTGGTTCCAACAATCTTTTCTGAATTGAGTTCCGAGTGTTGTTGAGAACGATTGTGTAATATGGTAGTGATCTCCTCTATTTCGACAACACTTTGGAGATGATGGTAACTTTCTTCGTGTGATAAATCCCATATTTTACTATGCAAGACATCTACCCATTCCTCATCTCGCACTCTGCACCTCAAAAGACCACCGAGTGTAGTAGCAGCCAGAGGCAAACCTTTACATTTCTCCACAATTTTCTTACCAATTAATTCCAAATTTGGATTTCCATCAATACTTGTATTCTCAAAGGCATGTTGTGCAAACAACGACCAACAATCTTCGTCTGATAGGACCTCAATGTCATGAAGTTCAACAGTTGCCATCATTCTTGCAACGTCTCTGTTACATGTTGTCACCACGACTGTACTTCCTTGGGCTCCACTATTGAAAGGGCTCTTCAAAATATTCCAATCACTGTATTTTTTGTTCCAGACATCGTCTAAAACAATTAAGAACCTCCTTCCAGCCAAAGCCTTCTGTAGTTGAACTTGAGCTTGATCCAAGCCATAAAAACTACACGGTTGGGAAGTCACTGACTCGAGAATTGCTTTTGTTAGTCTCATAATGTCGAAGTCATCTGACACACAAACCCAGGCTTTTAGATGGAAATGCTTGTCCACGGTTTCATGGTTGTATACCATCCGAGCAACGGTGGTCTTGCCGATCCCATCCATACCCACAATGGCAATTACACCAACGTTGATATGACTTGATTCATCCTCCCTTACGAGCAGCTCAATTATCTTTCTTTGATCATGTTTTCGGCCATAGACGAGAGGTACATCAATTAAAGATGTAGACTCTCGTTTTTGCCCAATCTGAACAGATGTGGTGCCAACAATCTTTTTTGAATTGAGTTTCAAGTGTTGTTGAGAACGATTGTGTAATATGGTAGTGATCTCCTCTATTTCGACAACATTTTGGAGATGATTGTAACGTTCTTCGTGTGATAAATCCCATACTTTACTACGCAAGACATCTACCCATTCCTCATCTCGCACTTTGCACCTCAAAAGACCACCGAGTGTTGTAGCAGCCAGAGGCAAACCTTTACATTTCTCCACAATTCTCTTACCAATTAATTCCAAACTTCGATTTGCATCAATACTTGTATTCTCAAAGGCATGTTGTGCAAACAACGACCAACAATCTTCGTCTGATAGGACCTCAATGACATGAAGTTCAACAGTTGCCATCATACTTGCAACGTCTCTGTTAGATGTTGTCACCAGGACTTTACTCCCTTCGGCTCCACTATTGAAAAGTCTCTTCAAATTACTCCAATCACTGTATTTTGTGTTGCAAACATCGTCTAAAACAATTAAGAACCTCCTTCCAGCCAAAGCACAATTTAGTTGAACTTGAGCTTGCTCGAAGCCATAAAAACTACATGTTTGGGAAGTCACTGACTCAATAATTGCTTTTGTTATTCTTATAATGTCAACGTCATCTGACACACAAACCCAGGCTTTTAGATGGAAATGCTTGTCCACGGTTTCATGGTTGTATACCATCCGAGCAAGGGTGGTCTTGCCAATCCCACCCATACCCACAATGGCAATTACACCAACGTCGATATGACTTGATTCATCCTCCCTTACGAGCAGATCAATTATCTTACCCCGATCATGTTCTCGGCCATAAAGGCGAGGTTCATCAAATAAAGACGTAGACTCTGGTCTTTGCCAAGTCTTAGTCGAAGGTGTAGGGGTGGTTCCAATAATCTTACCCAAATTAAGTTTCGAACATTGTTCAAAAATATTGCATAATCTGGTATTGATCTCCTCAATTTTGGACCTCATTTGGAAATTCAACACGACAGAAGTTGGCTTGAAATTGGTACAACAAGTGGGGATGAAGTTCCATACCTTGCTCGAACTAGCTTGGGGGGTTGGATCTTCCATCAGTTTCTGGCGCAAAGCTTCGGTGGCAAACTCATCCACGACATCATCCAAATCATATGCCAAATCATGGAGATCCTCGAGCCAATGGTTCACGGCTCGATCGGTCAGTTGCTTCTCCTCCGCGTCGATCAGAACCGCTTGAATTTTGGACAGCATATTGCTCCAATTACTCAGCCGGGTATGAATGCCCTGATAGCGAGCAAATTTCAAAAACTCTCCGGAGGCCATCTTCTCTAACAGCACTGTGAGGAATGCAGCGATAAACACTTCTACGATAGCCATTGCAGAAGGGAAGGGAAGGGAAAGGAAGGGAAAACCCAAATCAGAAGCGAAGCAAAGCAAAGAGAAGAGATCGTTGACTAAAGAGATTCACAGGGCGAAAGAAAGAAGCAATTGGTGAGAAAAAACACAACAGGTGTGGGCCCTTATGATTGAGATTAAAATGAATAACGTTTGAGAGTGCGAAATTCTTCCCCTAATTTCTTAATGTCCAAAATTTCTTAATGTCCAAAATGACGTTGTTTTGGGTATTTTTTTTTTCTTTTTCCTTCGTCTTCTTCATGCAGCTCTGAGACCGGGAGAGGGAGAGGGAGAGGGAGAGAAAAAGAAAGAGAGAGGGAGAGGGAGAGGCAGGTCGCAGCTCGTCGCCGTCGCAGGGAAGAGCTCGTCGCCGGGATGTCGCAGCTCGTCGTCCCCGTCGTCGTCCAACCCAACCCGATCGCCGCCCAGCCCAGCCTCGCCTCTGCCCAGCCCCGCCTCCGCCTCCGCCTCCCCTGTGATTATGGCCCCCTCCAGTTCCTCTCCTCCTCCTCCTCCTTCCTCCTTCCTCCTTCCTTCTCTTCTCCTTCTTTTCCTTTTGATTTTCTGCTTCTGAAACCAAAAAAAAAAAATTAGGAGAATTCGGGGAGCTCATTTTCGAGCTCCCTAGCACGACCGAATTAAAATTTAGGGGAATTAAATACCAGTGGAGTAGAATTACAAAATGGAAACAAGCTCGAATACCCGAATGTCAAAACGAAGTCCTTTTGGTAATTTTTTTTTTCTCCCATTTATATGTGAGTTCAGAGGAGAGGGCAAGAGAGAGAGAGAGAGGGGGAAAGAGAGAGGAGGAGAGAAGAGAGACGAAAACAGAGAGAGAGGCAACGGTGATGAAGGGTGCGACGGTGAACGGTTATAGAGGGTGCGACGGTGACGATGACGTGATGGAGGGTGCGACGGTGGACGGTGATGGAGGGTGGGTGTGACGGTGACCGACCAGATCTGATGGAGCACCACCCAAATCTTAATATTTCTCTCCTTTTTTTTTTCTTTTTTTTTTCTGGCTCTGTGTTGATGATGGTGATGTTGTTGTTGATTCTCTGTGTTGATAATGGTGATGTTGTTGTTGATTTTTTTTTTTCCAGATCTGATGGATCTTCTTCTCCTTCTTCTTCTTCTTCTCCTCTACCTCTTCTTCTTCAGACAAACGAGGAGGAAAAAAGAAAAAGAAAAAAAAAATCCCAAAACGACGTCGTTTTGGGATTTCGGGTGATTCGAGCAGTTGATAATTCGAGTTACGTAGCGGAGTTGTTACAAAATTGGATAAAGCTTGGGAGCTCGAATGAGCTCCCCCCCGAATCCCTCGAAAATGGAAACAGAGGGAAACAGAGGGAAAAGTGGGGGAAAAGAGGGTGAAGGCAAGAGAGAGAGAGGGAGAGAAGCTCGGCCGATCGTCGGCCGATCGCCGATCGTTGCAGCAGCTCGGCCCCCGCCGCGCCTCCGCTCCTGGTTTATGCCCCCTCCTGTCCAGTTCTCCCTTCTCCCTTCCCTTCTTCTTCTTCTTCTCCCTTCTTTTCTTCTTCTTCTCCCTTCTTCTTCTTCGTTTCTGATTCAACCAAAAAAAAAAAAAAAATGGAAAAACGACGTCGTTTTTGAAATTAGGGGGATTCGGGGGGCTAGTTTCGAGCTACGTAACATTACTCTTACAAAATTATTTGCACATTATATATTGGGTCATGCTTGGTAGCTCGAAAGAGCTACCCCCGAATCTCCCGAATTTGCAGAAAACAGAAGAAAGAGAAGGAAGGAGGAGGAGGAGGAGGGGAAAGAAGAAGAAGAGAAGGAAGGAGGAGGAGGAGGAAGCCGAAGGACTGGAGGGGGCCAAATAAATCGGGGTGTGGAGGCCGAGGCGGGGGGCGGAGAAGGAGGTAGAGGCAGAGGCAGTGGCTGTGACGACGAGGAGCTGCGACGGCAGGCGACGAGCTCTTCCCTGTGACGAGCTCTTCTCTCCCTCTCTCTCTTTCTCTCCCTCTGTCTCAAAGCTACATGAAGAAGAAGACGAAAAAAAAAAAAAATAATGCCCAAAACGACGTCGTTTTGGGGATTAGGGGGATTAGGGGGGACATTTTTCGAGCTCTCAAACATTATCCTTATATATTTTTACAATTTTTTTTCTCTATTCACTTTTTGTAATTTTTCCTAAAATTTACATTATAGGATAGAAAAATCAATAAAGAATCAATTTGCCTTTTTCCTAATATTTACGTGATAGGATAGAGAAATCAATAATTGATTCTTTCTTCTCCATGATCCAATTTGCCTTCCAGCACATCTCAAGGGGATGTTTGGGAAGCCAATTTTAGGCTTTTTTTTTTTTAAGTTAAAATTCATAAAAAGATAAAATAAATTAAAATAGTTAATAAAATAAAATGTCATATCAAACATATAATCATTTTACTTTTTTTCTCATAAATATTATATTCAATTATAAAATTATTTCTCAAACACAAATATTTTGGTCTATTAAAATAGTCAAAAACTTAAAATAACCAAATTCGCCATTTAACAAGTGTTTGAAAAATTAAAATTTCTTTTAGTCTATATGCAACTCATATTTATGATTTTTGTATTTTTTTTATTATATCTTATTAGAATGTTGGTTATCATTCAGTTTGACATTAATTAGGATTTGAAAGTATCTTGATTTTGAAAAATGACGTCTAATTTATCACTTCTAAAAATCACTCTTAATGACATATTTAAAAAATGTCAAATTTTGATTTATCAAACATTACATCATGTAAGGTCTAATCTCAATATCATATCATTATAAGTGATTTAGAGATAATAAATCAGGAAGATGTAGCATTATTGTTTAGTTATATTATAACTTTTTTTTAGTTAGGACTCCAATGTGTATCATAACATTACCCTCAACAAATAAAAAAAAATACTAATTGGAAGTGTCTTAAGAAATATTCCCGATTATTTTTTAAAAATTAATTTAGTAAAAAATTAAATATACTTATCATTTTTATATAATTTTATATTTTTGAAAATATTTTTAAAATATTTTTTAATGATTATTTTTGTCAAAATAATAATTATATTTTCAAAAAAAATTGTAGAAAATAGTTTTAAAAAAACCAAACCAAGCATGGTTTTGTTAGTTGAAAGGTTTTTTTAAATTTTTTAACAAGTGCAAGACGAAGTTATATTTATGCTATGTTTGGTTGGGGGATTTGGAGAGAGATTTGGAAAGAGAAATGGAAAAGGTAGGTAAAATGTGAATAAATCATGCCTATGTTTCACACAATTTCATACACTTTTTCCCTTTCCCTTCCCAAATCCCTCAACCAAACACACTGTTAGAGAAGTGTTAAATCAAAATCATGCGATAAAATTCACACCAATGTGTTTCATTGGTGATCCGATCATTGTTTGGGTTAAAAATAATATATGTCTATCTTGGCAAATTGTGTAAATCTTAGTGCAACGTATGCAAATCGGGTAAATCTTCGTGCAACGTATGAATCTAATCATGATGTCTTATAACAATTAACTTAACATGTCGTAATTTAATTTTTTTTTATATTAATTCCTAATATTTACATGACGACATGCATAATATAATCACAATAATTAATAATCACACTATCTATTTCAATTTATTTTAATGAATTAAACACTTATCTCAGAAGAAGGGTTAAACTATGATTCAAAATAAATAAGAGCAACTCCCATGAAATTGTTATAATGTTTGCTATTACTAAATCGTATCAACTTTACTATAAAAAATATATAAAAAAATCTATCACATGTCAAAATATGGCATTACTAAAATATGATACTGTCATAATTAGGAGTGTTTTCAAATTTTACTCTTTTTTTATTTTTTATTTTTTATTCTCCAATCCAATTTGAATAAAATTTTGATTAAAAACTTGATTTGGTATTGATCTCTCAAATCTTTATTTAATTTTCTTTTATTTATATATAAAACTAGACTCATACGATGTGAGGTTAATTTTTTTTAAATAATATTTTATAAAATTTAGTTAAATTATTTGTCTTATATAAATTATTTTTAATAATATATGACGATGTATGTGTTAAAAAAAAATATAATTTTATTATGATATAAAAATATAACATAAATAAATTTAATGATTTTTGTTGAAATATTTTTGAATTTATCTATATGCACATATGTATACAATTATTTTAAAAATATTTTGTGAAATATGCAGTGCAATCTTTGTGTAAATGTGTATTTTATATGACATTTTTGTACTAAATTATAACATAGTAAAATAAATACTCTTTAATATTAGAAATAATTATTAAATAGAGAAAAATAGTAATTTAAAATTAATGAGTGATTCTAATTATTTATTCTGATAATCTTAGCGCCATCGTTCTATAAAAATGTTAGTTAAATAAATATATATAATAATTTTAGTTAAATTATTTATGTATATTTTGATAATCTTAGTCCTATCATGCTATAACAGTGTGATTTAAATAAATATAGACAATAATTTCACATGATATTAAATTTTAACAGAATTTTGATATTAGAAATAATAGGTAAATTTTGAGAAAATTAGTCTAAGGTCCCTCTCCGACTTTTAGTAATAGGAGAGGTCCACAATAATTTTTTTTATAGTCTAAGATTCCTCACCCACACCCATATATAACACCCCTCTCTCCTCTCTCTCTTCAAGATCCAACTTTGAGCAGCTCCAAGATCCAACTCTCTCATCTCTCTTCGCACACCAAAAACCCCTTTCTCATTCTCACCAAAAATTGGTGTCTAAAACCCTAGTTCGGACCGAAGCCCCTCTGATGAACCGATTGCTGAATCTATTGCTTCAGCAACAGTAGAAGAACATGAGCTCAAACCATCTGATTGCATCGATGATTTTCCCATCTTCTCTCTCCAAGTTCCAGATCTCTCTCAATTTCCCCACTGCGACTTTGATCCCTTCAAAAGACTTTCTTCCGATGGATTTCTCTACCCCTCCGGCCTTCCCTGTCTTCGAGTCTTCTTTTCCAATAGTACTATCTCTCTTTATAAATTTTTTTTTGGTGGATTGTTTGTCTGTATTACA